TTTAAACCTGGATTAGTCACACATTCAAACCTGGTTTAGCCAGACATATAAACTTGGATTTGTTAAACTTGGAAACCTGGATTTGACAAACTTTTAAACCTGGATTAGTCACACTTTTAAACCTGGACTAGCCAAACTTTGAAACTTGGATCTGTTAAACTTTTAAATCTGAGTAAATGAAACTTTTGAACTCGGATTTGTTAAACTTTTAAACTTGGATTAGCCAAGCTTTTAAACCTGGATTTGTCAAGTTTTTAAACTTGGATTTGTCAAACTTTGAAACTTGGATTTGCCAAACTTTTGAACCTGGATTAATCAAACATCTAAATTAGGATTTGTTAAACTTTTAAACTTGGATTTGTCAAACTTTAAAACCTGGATTAGCCAAATTTTTAGACCTGGATTAGTCAAATTTTTAGACTTGGATTAGCCAAACATCTAAACTTGGATTTGTTAAACTTTTAAATCTGAGTAAAGTCAAACTTTTAAACTTGGATTTGTCAAACTTTTAAACCTGGATTAGTCACACATTCAAACCTGGATTAGACAAACATCTAAACTTGGATTTGTCAAATTTTTAAACCTGGATTTGTCCAACTTTGAAACTTGGGTTTGTTAAACTTTTAAAAGCAGAAGAAAGAAGAAAAAAAGATAAAAAATGTTTAAAAGCCACCAAAAAATAACAGTAAAAAATTGAGATACAAACCCAAAGAATTTGAAAATCACCCCCCAAAAATTAAAAACCACAAAAAGTAAAAAAAAAAATTATAACAACTTTAAAATTCTCCAAGATAAATATAAAACTCCCAAATTATTACACAGTCTATTAAAAATAAATAGATATAAAAAACTAAAAAAAAGGACAAATATAAAGATCCCAACTCCCCTCACAAAATTAAAAAATAAAAGTCCCCAACAACCCCCACTGAAATTGGCACAAATTACCCCAAATGAACTTTGTGAGGTGACCTTGAAATCCTTAAATAATTTCCCTTTTAAATATTCAAAAATAATTATGAATATTCAATATATTTTTATTTTTCTGTTTGCCACTCTCTGCCCCCAGCCTGCAGCTGCTTTTTCTGCCTCTCCTTGATGCCAACAGCAGAATAAATGAGATTTCTTTTTATCTTCATTAAAACACTACAAAACCACAATTAAAATTCTTTTAGCCACGATTCCAGCAATCAGAGTTTTAAAAAAAATGCAAATAAAATGAAGTTTTCTTCAAGCTTTTAAATATCTCTGGGCACCGAGGGTCTCTAACAGAATAAATTACCCGAAAAAAGGAGGGCAAATATTCCCAAAAATAATCCTGGGATACAGCAAAGAAAACTAAATTTAAATTAAGCTGAAGTCAGGGCAGAAATTAATTTAAATTAAGATTTTACCAAGCAATATTTGTCACCAGAAACGTTCTTCACCAGAAAATATTTGAATATTTTTTATTAAAAGTGCCATTTCTGGAGAAGATTTAAAGCAGTTACACGGCAATAAGAAAACATCCAAACACTGAATAATGAAGAATTTATCAGGATTTAAGTTTTAAAAATATACCTTCTATAGGCTGTCCAGTGCAATGTAAATAAAAATCATATTACACACACATATATATATCATAAAAAATACATTTAACTGCACAAATGGATGGATTTGTCATTATTTCTGAATTATTTTCAGGTTCAAAAATTTATGGATTTACAGAAACATCATTCCCAAAGTTTAGGGGTGGATTTAGGCAATGAAAAATTGAATATATTTAAATTACTACAACTGTGAACCCAAACTGAGATAAAGAGATCACTGAAAATTTGTCTTATCACATGAAAAATTGAATATATTTAAATTACAACACCTGCAATTTAAATTACAACATCTGAACCCAAACTGAGACAAGGACATCAATGAAAATTGGTTTTATCAAATCCAGTAATACTTTTTAAAGTTCTTCAGACAGAGATCTGAAAATTGTGATACCTGAAAATATTTAATATAAAAATTCTGCCATAAATTAAGGTCGGATTTCTGTACAGTCATTAATCCTGGCGATAATATGGTGAATTTCAATACTCTTTTTTCTCAGCATGTTTTTCCTACAAAATCAGCATTTAACATCAAATCCAAGCAGGGTTTTCCATTAAAAGAGATGAAGCAAGGGGAAAAACTGAAGTTCTCTCTTAAATTCCATATTTCTTCTACCAAGTGCCTCTTTGCATTGCATTAAGAGCATTTGCATATTCAATTCTCCGTTAAAAATAATCCCAAGATTTGCAATAACAAAGGGATTGATTCATCCCAATGATTAAACCTCATCACTAATATCCTCCACTCTTGGAATTCTAAAATTCTGATTTAAAAAAATTAAATCCAAGGTCAAATCCCTTCACAGGCCCAGGCTGCATCCTTAAACCTTCAGCTGATTTATTGGGGTTTATCCCAAACAATTCTTTCCCAAAAGCAGAGGCATTTTATGAGGTTTAAAATCTTCATTTCATAATTTCTTCACTTTCCAGTGAGGGGAAAAAAAAAATCATTCAACAGAGGAAAAAAGCCCTCCTGAAATGTGCTTTTCTTTGTTGCTGCAGCAGTTTTTTAGGGCCTCCCTGCCATTCCCAAGAGCTCTGGAATTGCAATTCCACTATAAAAAAACCCTCAGTACTGAGATTATTGTAAATTATTGACAGCGACCCCTACAAGACCACAGAGCTCCTGGAGGCCTCGTTGAGATTCCAAGAATTATTCCCCAAAATTGAATTTAGGAGCAATTTGTGCAGGAAAAATTCAATGACCCAAAATGTGGGAGCCAACTTCCACTTGGAGGAATTCCCCGTGGAGCAGAGAGAAACCTGGAATGCTTTGTCCACCAGAAAAAAAAAAAAAAATCCTTTCATCTGCAAAAATGGAGCAGAAGGATGAAGGTAATTATGGGATATCAGAGAATCCTGGAATGGTTTGGGTTGGGAAGGACCTTAAAGCCCACCCAGATCATCCAGGGACACCTCCCACCGTCCCAACGATGCATCAGGTTCGGCTTTTCTATATTTCAGACTCTGTGCTGCTTCAGTGTGCAGTTCTGAGCTTCACATTAAGGCTTGCTGAGCTCTCTGCACAGAGCAGGGACACAAAACAATTCCTGCTCCAGCTGGGCACCAAGGACAAATGATCCAAATCTCAGCCCAGGAGCACAAACCCCGTGGGCTGCAGAGAGAAAAACAAGCAGGATGGGAGTGCAGGGGCTGAGCTGGAATTGGACACTGAACTGCAATGTGCACATGGAGCAGAGCTGATCCCAGGGAGAGACCCCGGGAGCGCTCGTGCATTTTGGGACCATTTGGGTTCATCCTGGGTGCAGCCCTGGCTGGGCTCTTGTGCTGCCCAAGGTGCATCCGTGGAGGAGATCCTTGAATCAATCCCTGCTTTATTCTGGAATTCCAGCCTCTGCTCCAGGGCAGCCTTCACAAAGATTGTTCCAAGCTACATCCAACCTGGCCTTGGACAATCCCAGGGATCCAGGAGCAGCCACAGCTTCTCTGGGCACCTGTGCCAGGGCCTCCCCATCCTCCCAGGGAACAATCCCTTCCCAATCTCCCATCCATCCCTGGCAGTGGAGGCCATTCCCTGTCCCTCCATCCCTTGTCCCCAGTCCCTCTCCAGCTCTCCTGTACTTCCTTTAGGCCCTGGAATGTGCTGGAAGCTCTCCCCTCATCCTTCCCCTCTCCAGGTGAACATTCCCAGCTCTCCTAGCCTGGCTTCAGAGCAGAATTCCAGCCCTGTTGGACGGCACAGAATCCAGATATGAAAAGAGAGGATCCAGATCTTGAGGAATGAGAGATTCATGAGAATCCAGATCTTGGAAAACCTTGACTCAGACATCAAGAACCATTTCCTTTGGCAAGGAAAAAGCTTTTACATCCAAATTTTATAGCTGCACAATCGCCCGTCCAGGAGCCACAGACCGAATTCAGTCACAATTCAGTCTGCATTCTAAGAATACTGTGGAGGAAATTTCAGAATGTCAACAGGCCTGGAAATATTTCAAAATCTTTTTTATAACTAAATATAATTAGTGACACAAACCAGCAAATAATTAAGGCAATATGGATGTAAAAGAAGCCAAATTTGTAGCTACTCGAATTTTTTAGGGAACAGCTCCAAATCTCTTTTTTGAGTCAGTTTAAGTGATCCATCCTTCCTGAAAACATCCACCAGGACAATAACATTCCTGGAAAAAAACCTGTGCAAATCAAGAGAGAACACAGAAGAATTCCCCCCTTATTTATTCCAAGTGTCCACTTGGAATTTTTAGGATAATGAAGCTGCTTGACCATGAAACTGTGATTTGAAAGTGGTGATATCCCAATATCACAAAAATAATATTTTTGTGATATTCTGAGTTGAGACTCAATTGCAAGGAAATAATCCTTTTGCTTTTGAAGATCAGGAATACTGCTCTGGGTGCTCCAACAGGATTTTTAGGAATTCTACATTTCCCACAGCTTTAAAACAAGAGGAGGATGAGACATTTTACAGAAAGAAGATAATTAACTTTGTATTACTGCCAGGAGAAATAAGAGCTCTGATCAAGGAGAAAAAAACCCAATCTCATATTTGTTCTCTATGAAAACCAGAGGTGCTCGCTATGAAATCAAGATAAGCTCAAACACACCTTGATAAGAAACTCTGAGTTGTTTCTGCACATAAAAGGTTTAAATCCAGTTCCCACCTTTCCAGACAAACCACTCAAAGCTCCTTTTGATTGTGATTGTCACAGTTCCGTCCCAAAACCCCAAAAAATGTGCATTTTCCTCAGAAAACAGGGAATTAAACCTTGAGTCCTCCCCACTGGGGTTTTTTTGTGGGGTTTATTTCCAATACTGACGGGGAAGGATTCCCAGTAAAACACGCGAGGAGTGCAGGATGCGCCTTTCCTTAAATCTGCTGGGACGAGGGAACATCAGCCACTTCTCCTCGGAGACCCTGGGGGTTCCTGGCCCGGGGACTGTCCCAGCAGCTCTGTCTGGGGGTGCTGTGTCAGGACAGTGCCATTGTCACCAGTGCCACCAGTGTCACCAGTGCCAGCAGGCTGGGCAGGGCGCGGCTGCCCGCGGCCGTCCTGCGCGCCTGCAGCACGGCGAACACCGCGTTGGTGGCGTTGGTGGGGATCTCCACGTTGCAGATCATGCCTTCGCAGCAGGAAACACACTCCTGCCGGGAGAAAAGGGTCATTAACGCAAGGTAATTAACTCGGGGTAATTAATTCGGGGTAGTTAATTCAAGGTAATTAATTCAGGGGGATTAATTCAGGGCGGTTTTAAGAGAGAAATGCGCATTCAGTGTCGCAAAGCTGGGCTGAACAGACCCGTCCTGGCCAGGGCAGAAGGTGAAGCAGATATGTTAAAAATCATCCCAAAATCCAATTTATCCATGAATCAATTATCCAAATCAGGAGCCTGGAGTCGCTCATCCCCAGGTGTGTCCCCAAGCCGGAGTGGGATGTCACAGAGCCACACTGACACTGCAGAAAACAGAGCTTCCCTTTCTAACACATCAACTCAAAATATGCTCTGCAACATATCAGCTTTTCTTAAGCCGAAAAATTCTGACTCTAAAACTTTTGTTCCCACTCAGGTTTCCCCTCCAGGTTTTGTGGTTTGTGCAGAGCATGCAGAAATCCCATTGCTCCCACTGCAGAGCATGCAGAAATCCCATTGTTCCCCGGTGCAGAGCATGCAGAAATCCCATTGTTCCCCGGTGCAGAGCATGCAGAAATCCCATTGTTCCCCGGTGCAGAGCATACAGAAATCCCATTGTCCCCGGTGCAGAGCATGCAGAAATCCCATTGTTCCCCTGTGCAGAGCAGCTCTTGGCACATCCTCCTGGAAAAACCAGCCCTGGAATGGCCTCCTCCAGCCCCAGGAGTAGAACAGGAGCAGGGCAGGAGTAGGACAGGGTAGAGCAGGAGCAGGCCAGGAGCAGGCAGAAGAGAGCAGGAATAGACCAGGGGCAGGATACAAGCAGAGTATGAGTAGAGAAGGAGTCGGGCAGGAGCAGGGTACGAGTGGAGCAGGAATAGGGTATGAATAGAACACAAGCACAGCAGGAGCAGAGCAGGAGTAGGACATGAGTAGAACATGAGTAGGACACGAGCAGGAGTAGGACATGAGTAGAACATGAGTAGGACACGAGCAGGCAGAGCAGAGCAGGAGCAGAGCAGGAGCAGAGAAGGAGTAGGACATGAGCAGGACATGAGCAGGACATGAGCAGGAGTAGGACACGAGCAGGCAGAGCAGAGCAGGAGCAGATCAGGAGTAGGACATGAGTAGGTCATGAGTAGGTCATGAGTAGGTCATGAGTAGGACATGAGTAGGACATGAGTAGGACATGAGTAGGACATGAGTAGGACATGAGCAGGCAGAGCAGAGCAGGAGTAGAGCAGGAGCAGAGCAGGAGCAGAGCAGGAGCAGAGAAGGAGCAGAGAAGGAGCAGAGCAGGAGCAGAGCAGGAGCAGAGCAGGAGCAGCAGCGTGGCGCTGACCGTGTGGCCGCTGTCCCCGCGGCGGTGGCACCCCACCAGGTGACACTCCTCGCCCGTGGCACATCTCTTGGTGACCGAGGTGCTCTCCCCGCGCGCCGTGAAGAGGTGAGCGGTCAGGCAGTACCGAGTGCCTGCAGAAGCAAATCAGGGGTTGGATTGCCACCACTGATCCTTGGGAACAGCCCTTCACATCCACACACAGCTCAGGGAAACATTCCCAGAAAATCGCTCTACGGAATGATTTGCAACTCGATGAAAAGAGCATTTAGCAAGAAATTAATCCCTGTGAAATCTCAGCTGACCCTTCAAACCTCCAGCAAGGCTGCTTTGATTGAAATTACTAATTAGCGCCATCACCCACGCGTTTATTTTTATTTCTCCCCTCTTTTTGGCAGCACGTTCCTGCGTGGTTTCAGGTTGGTTTCCTCATTCCTCTGCTTTGCTTCTTCCCCTTTCCCACCGTTCCCGCGAATGTCACCAGGGTGAAAAATGAGGAAACGTTTCCATTATTTCTGAGCTTTATCCTCCCCAGCACAGGTGTGAGCCCCAGTCAGGCAGGTCCTGCTGCTCACTAAGAACATGAAATTTTGGGATGGCATCCAAAGGAAAGGGAATAAAGCTGCAGAGGAAATTCTTCAAGTTTTTTAAACAACATCTTTAAATTAACTCTTGGGAAGCACATGATTATGTATATATACACAGGGAAGCATAGTTAAATAATATGGATGTATTATTAAAAATCTGTTTGAATATTAATTTTTTTGTAATATAAAACTGGGAGATGGAGATAAATGATTTTTCACTGTTGCTTTACAACCCTGAAGAAAATAAAGCTACAGAGGAAATTCTTCAGGTGTTCTAAACAAGATTAAAGCGAACTCTTGGGAAACACATAAAAACACAGGTAGTTAACTAATACTGATATATTATTAAAAATCTGTATATTAATATTATTGTTATATATTACATAAAACTGAGAGAGATGGAGATAAATAATTTTTTACTGTCACTTTACACTCTGAGGGAATAAAGCTACAGAGGAAATTCTTCAGGTTTTTTAACAAGATTAAAATTGACTCTAGGGAGGCACATCATTATATATATATATACACAGAGAAACATACACAGGTAATTAATACTGATCTATTATTAAAAATACGAAAATTATTTTAAATAACGTTATATTAAAATATTAATAATAAATTGAATATTAACATTGAATTTAATATTAAAATATTACCACATTTAAATGCTTGTGTATTAATATTTTGATATATATTATATAAAAATGAGGGAGATGGAGATGAATAACTTTTCCCTGTTGCTTTACACACTGGAATGGCCAAAGCTGTCACATCAGCAGAAATGACCTGACTCAGCACTACCAACAACAAAACTGTGCTGGCACATTAGTGCCACGAATGAGCCCGACCTCTCCAAGGGGGCGAGGCAGGGAAAAGCAAGGTTAAATGTCACAAATATTGAATATCTCCTCATCCAGCCTTACTCACTTTCAGGACACCACCTGTCTTCAGCCCATCTGTTGCAGTTGTAGTTGTCCACCGCGTTGTCACAGGTAAAGCACTTGAAACTGTTTGGGAATGGAGTGGCTTGGAAAGGGTTAAAAAAGCATTAAAATACAGCCAGTTGGGAAGTATTGAGAAAAAAAAAAATTAAGATATTCAAAATTATGCTTGTACACACATGCATTTACAGGAATGAATTATATATATTTACATCTTTTCGCTGTCAGACAAATAAAACAAGTTTTGCAGAAAGCTTTTTGTTTTCTCTAGGCTTGAACTGAAAATATATCCTCATGTTTTCGCTCTCATAATCCAAAATTGAGGCAGTGGTGGGAAAAGCAGGGAAGAAGGAAGAGTTTATCTCCCTCCTCGTGGAGCAAACATAAATCTACATTTTCCTTTGATGGAAAAACTGCATTTCCAAAGCAGCTCCAGAGCTTGAACTCCCATTCAGAAGAAGCTGGATTCTCTAAACAAAAGGTCTTTTAAAATCTTATTTCCATTAATTCAATGAATTATTGGAAGGTGCAGGGTTCACTAGGGGCAGGTATTATTTCCAGCTACTATATCCTGGCTGGTTTTTTTATCCTTTTTTTCCTGGCTGCAGATAATGCAAATGAAGGGATGGAACACTGGTGATGCCAGATAAGAGGAAAAAAAAAAAAAGAGATGCCATTAATGCCAACTGGCTTCACAGGTCCCACGAGGTTTTTAATTACCTTCAGAGTGAATTAATTGCATGCAGCAACACCTATTCCTCCCCTTACAAAACCCCCAACAAGATAAAAGACCAAAACCACCTGTTCTGGATTATTTATAAGGAAACCGCTGCATAATTTCCTCTGCAGGGAGACAGAAATAATACGAGAAAAGCCCTTAAAATGCCAAACTCCTCGTGCACTCTAATTTTGCAATGATTTGATTCATTTTCATTCAGTCAGCTTGTCAGATATTAAGTGCAAAGTGCTGTGGGTTGAGAAGCAAAATGTTTATTTTAAAGTTTCTTTGGAGACAAACAGCTGAAACCCAAACCACCGGGAGGATGGGGCAAATATTTACAATTTTAAGCTAGAATTCTGTACAGAAAAGGCCAGAATTCCATTAAAAAAAAAAAAAAAAAGCTACTTACGGTCTAGTGGAGGCCTGATGTTGTAGAAGTTGATGTTCTCAGCTGAAGCCCAATGTCCGGAGAGGACGAGGAACGGGAGAACGGCTGCGGCCAGCAACGCCCCCATCCCGGGCATCACTGCGCAGGGAAACCCCCACGCCTCAGGCCTGCAAAAGCACGGGGACACATCATTCAGTGGGAATTGTGAGGACCTGAGGTGGGGGGTGATGAATTTCCTGCCAAATCCTGCTGGAAGCGTGGCGATTCAGCCGGGAACGCCGGCGAGCGGCGCAAAGCTGAGCTGGTGGTGCCTTCTGCTGGCCAGAACCCCTCACAGAGGGCTGGGACTTGCAAAAGAAACTCAAGTTCACGTTATTCCTTTCATCTATTTGTCCTCCTGAGCCTTAAAAATCCCTCAAGAGGATTCCTAAAAATCAACGGGATTGAGGTGCCTTAGATGCGACTTGAAACAGGGTGGAATAAACAGCACTAAACGCAGAGGAATCTCAATTTTAACACCAACAACCAATCCCTTACCTGAGATAAATAAATTTCACTTCAGACAAGCTGCATCATCTGAATTTTAAGTGCACTTTGCACTGTCACAGCATTAAAATTTTTAAGTGTAAATTCAATTTATTTCTTTTTAAGCGCATCCCAAGGGAATGCTAAGGAAGATGGCACAGACGTGCTGGAGAAGGGCACACAGGGATGAGATGAAATCACCCCAAAAATCCATTTACTTGGGGCCCCCTGGGTGCTCTGCCAAAGCTTTAGAGAGGTGAACTGAGCATTTTGCTCAGGTTGGTATTCAGATTTCCACACCTCCAGACAAACACAGGGAATTGTGGCAAATTCCAGTGGCCCTGGAGCCTGGTTCAGATATTACAAATCACAGCCTCACTCCTCCCATGCAAATTCCCAGCAGGACAAACAAGCTGGACTGGAGGCTCCTGCCAAACCAGAGCCAAAGGCATTCCCTCCAAACTTCCAGGCACACCCTGGCCAGGCTGGAAATGGTGCTCAGCAGTGAATTCCAGGAATTTCCCTCTTTTCCCTGCATTTTTTGAATTGGTTGGGGTTTTTCCTTTTCCAGTGGAGATGGTTTTGCCAACCAAGCAAACAACAGAATTTTAGGAATTGTGAATTTTATTGTGAATTTAACCGCACTTCTCGAGATCTGATAATTAAACCTTGGCTTTATGGATCTATTTCAGGAGAAATTCCAAAGTCACAGCCTACCTCTGCTCCCTGTGTACTTCCAACACTCTTTTCCATAGGATGGTCCAGATTTCTTCTGGCTGCAGCTCAGGATCAGAAGGAGTAGGCAGAAGAATCTGTGGAGAACAAACAGCAACAGATCATCAAAATTCTCTTTTCTAGAAAAAAAAATTAGCATTAGATTAAGATAAAAATTAGGGGTTTATAACGAAATATCTGCAGAAGCACTTGAACTACACAATATGGCTCTCACCGAGTGCCTGCCGTGGGGATTGAAATTCCCGCCTTCCTGCGATATTCCAGTGCCATAAAAGACAAATAAAAGACAAAAAGCGAAGGAATGAGGCTCAGCCCACCCCTGAGGATGAGTTTCCTCCAGGAAAACCACTGCTGAGGGGATGGCCTGGGTGGGACCACACCAGTGAACATTCCCATTCCAGGGACATCCCAACTTTCCCCAGGATTCTGCCCAAAACAGAAGCACAGATCAGCAGCAAGGGAACCTGAGGGAGTGAAGACAAACCAGTGAGGGGCTGATGAACAAACAGTTCCCCACAGTGTGTGGAGCTGATCCAATTCCTGGAATTCCAGGTCATTCCAAGGCTGCAATTGCCAGAGCCACATTCCTGATCCCAATCACCCCATCCTTGTGCCCCTGCACCATCAGGAATGCAGATTTCCTGACTCCAAGAAGGCTCCTAACCTTAAAAATGCTTTAGGGATGTTGGTAATGAGATGAGAAGAGTCTTTTCTGTGCCTCAAGCCCTCTCTCCTTCCTGGATGCCTCACAAATAACTGTTTATCCTGGAATTCCAGGATGGTTTGCGTTGGAAGGGAATTTAAAACTCATCCAGTTCCACCTCCCTTCCACTTCCATGCCTTCAGCTTGCTCCAAGCCCTTCCAACCCAGCCTGGGACATTTAAATCCTTGGAATATCCTTATTATATCCTTGGAATAGCTCAAGCAACCCAGTTTTGATCAAGAATTCCACAAAATCACCGCGCACTTCAAGCATTTTAAAATTATTTCCATTTCACTCCGCAGGAAGGGAGGCAATTGAATCATTCCAACATTTCCAGGACTTCTCTCCTTGTCCCGTATTTGCTGCTGGCTGAGGGAAACTCTCCTTTTATGGGCTGTAACTGGATCTGAAGCACCTGGGCAGAAATAAAAGGCACAATTCCACTTGTGCCAGCTTGCTGCAGACCCAGGCTCCCCCTCCCCAGGCTCCTCTGGCTTTCCCCCGTGCCAAATGGAAAATCTGAGGGAACATAAACACAAAAAAAAAGTGACTCTGGCTGGGGGCAAGGCTCAGTAAATCGACCTCCCAACCTGATGCAGTCAAAGGTGTCCTTGTTTGCCAAGCAGGCCAATAAATAATGGATTTTGTTTGCCATGGCTTGGTTACACAGCTGCACCGCCAGGGCGTTCTCCAACCAAACAAGAAAATATTGGCCCAAAAATGGCTTTCCTATCTCACCCAGGATCTTTCAAAAGCTTATTTTCTTCACAGAGCCTTATCTCTGTCGAGCTGGCAGATAATATTGTCTAGCAGAGTGAGTAAATGTTTCATTAGGCCCAATTAGGAGCTCTCATTAATGAGGGGGGGGAAAAATGTCACAACATGGAAGATTAACTTATATAAACAGGAGCAAACAGGGAGCTCCAGCTTTCCTGGGGGAGGGAAGACAACCCAAAAGGGAAGGGCTGAGCGCTATAAAAAACCCTGTGACTAAATCCCATTTCAAGAAAACAACCAGGAACACAACGGCTGAGGGAATTAAAATATTCCAGAAGGCTGGAACCTCACAGGGTGCGATGGAAAAGTGGGAAGCAGCATCCCTGCGCTCTGATTTTAATAAAATTCCAGTCTGTTGACATTGTTTCTCCTGGCAGGCTCAGTGGAGGATTAGCAGATGGAACATCAGATATGGAATGCAAATGAAACTTCCTGCTGTCATTTAGCAAGCAATTTTCAGGTGCTGTTAGATAATTGCAAGTGCTTCTGTTAAGCTTGTTAAATTGCTCTTCGGGACACGGGAGAGATCCACGGGCAGAAAGGAATTTTTCTGTTCGGGGCTGGAAAGGTAAAACCCAACACCTGACGTGGCCCTGCCACAAATCCCAAAGGCCACAAAGGAAATTCAGCTTGGCTCAAGGGGCAAAACCAGCTCCCTGGCTGCCCCGTTCTCTTGTTCTCCTCTGGAGACCATTTAATTCCTGCAAAACTCAGCCAGCGAAGAAGTGGCAGAATAAATCCTTAAAAACCCCAAAATTTTCTTCAGGAAACAAGCAGACACGTTTAAAATGAAAAGGTGGGGGAAAGCGAATATTTTGCAGATTAAAGCAGCCCAAAAATTATTGCAGAGCTGCAAATTTACAGCTCTTTGCTGTGGAAGTTTTATCTTTTTTTCCCTGCTGAGTTAAGTCTGTATTTTTTCACTCTTTGCCTCACAGCACGTTGTTATTAGTGGAACACACCCCAGAAAAACGGATTTTACATCGCACTGACAGACATCTGCAAGGAGCAACGGTGACAGAACCGAAGTGAACTCATCCACCGGATCTTCAAGCACCACACGTTTCCTTTGGCTGCACCCACAGCCCCACTTGGAACTAAGATTTGGCCTTAATTACCAGAAATTACCGAGTTCTTTATCTGAGATCTTGTAAAAGCGAAGCACAACGTGGTTTAGCTCGGGGGAGGATGTTGGCATGGGAGGTGTCTGACTGCACCGAGCACACCAGGTGATTTCAGAAAGAAAATAATCCCTGACAAACACGATAAACCTGGGAAGCAGCACTGGAGTGAAGGATTTGTGAGCTGAAAACATGGAATGAAAAGTGCATTATTCCTCTCACAGCTCAAACTGGCATTCAGGTTAAAATCCAGAATCCCCCATCGTGGATGGATGGATTTTCCCCACGTGGAAAATAATTTATTTTGTCTAAAAATCCATTAAGGAGATTAAATTTCTGCCAGTTTTCCATTTCCTCAAAGGACTGTGCTTTGCCAAAGCTCTGGATGGCCAGAAGTTGAGTTTGGAGCAGCTCTTATACTTCTCCTGCAACTGGTTTAAATCTCCCCCTCACCTGAGCAAGGCTGGAAACTGGAATTTAATATGGCTCTGGAGAAAAGAGATTACAGGAATAAGCAGCATTTTTTTTCCTTGAGACTTGGTTTCACAAAATTAAATGTACAGATTATTAAGGTTTAACGAAATGGAACGCACACAATATTTCATCAAATACCTCAGTGGATCTGGCCATTAGTAACCTGTGAGTGAACACCAACACAGGAGAGAAAATTCTGATTTTCAGTGGTTTTCTTCTCCAGGTTTAGCTCCAGACCACATCAATAAAAGACCTATTTAATCCTGCCACGTTACTCATTTTCAGCAGCACTCCAGATATCCCTGCACACTCCAGACCTATTTTCCAACAGGAAAAAGGTGGGACAAAACAACACTGCTCCAACAAAATCAAGCAATATTACATTGCTCTATATTCTGCACTATTTTACATTATTAATAAAAATATTCTATTTCTATATTATTAATAGAATAATTATAATAACAGATAGAATACATAAACAGAATGTATATTTCTATATTATTAATAGAAAACAAAACTTTTCAGGCAGTTCAATTCAACCTCAGAAACACCCCTGGGTTTTATTTCCACGTGAAATCCTATTTCTGAAACAAACCCTGCGCAGTGCACAGGGGCACAGATGTCACAGAATTCCATTTCTCATTCCAGCCAGCACAGGAAGAGCCACTCCAGACAACCCCAACAAGAATGGGGTGCCCTGGTGAAGGGAGGAATGATGGATCTGACTCCATCTTCTCAGAAGGGCTAATTTATTATTTTGTGATACTATATTATATTAAAGGATACTAAACTAAAGAACACAGAAAGGATACTTACAGGAGGCTAAAAAATAATAATGAAAACTGGTCACTCTCTACAAAACCTCAACACAGCTTGGCCCTGATTGGCCAATGAGTCAAAATAATTCACATAAACCAATGAAACAATCTCCAAACACATTCCAAAGCAGCAAAACAGAGGAGAAGCAATGAGATAATTATTTATTTCCTTTTTCTCTGAGGCTTCTCAGCTTCCCAGGACAGAAATCCTGGCAAAGGGATTTTTCAGAGAATGTGAATGACAAACCTGCACGATTTCCCCTTGTCCAGGAAATGCCACTTTCCCTTCCAAATTCAATTTCAGGATCAAGACCCAACACCAGAAAGATTTGCTGGGAGGGCTGGCAGGCAGATCTACTTCAAATCCTAAAATTCAAATCCTAAATCCACCAAAATCTGCTGGAGCCTGAAGTGACCCCCTCCCTGGGATCAGGAAATCCAAAGGTTCAGCATCACTGAGAATATTCTTCACGTTCAGCTGAAATTCAGATTTAAGGGACAAGAGCTGAGCTGCTGAAGCTGAAAAGCTGCTTTTTGAACCCAATTCTGATGTCTGCAGTGACATCACCCTTCACTTCTTTACTCGTGGTTGTCACCTCGGGACCTTGGGGCCTTTTTCCAGCTGTTCAGGAGGAAAAAGGGATGCAAAAAAAACCCCCAAAAAACAACACAAAACAAAAAACCCAAAACCAACCAAACAAAAAACCCAACAGAAAAAACCACTTCCTCTTCTTCTTCTTCTTCTTATTATTATTATCATTATTACAATTCCTACTACTACATTTTCAGGTCAATGTTGACCAGGTTACACAGATTTCCCTCAGCACTTCAAGATATCATGGGAAAGGATAAAAAAAAAAAATCAGGAAATTCAGGTCATTCCATTTTGGAGGATTTGAAGGATTTGGGTTGATTTTATTAATTAAGAACCTGACAATACCTAAATATTTCAAGTTGTCTGTCAGTACTCGCCCTTAATGGATGAGAGTGGATTTTTCTCTTGACTTTCTCCCATGAGAAAATAAATTTTCCAAAGTTTTTTCCTCTCGGGTTCCTTCCTTGGGAAGGTGGGAGTGGTGTCAGGAGCTCCTTTTTTTCCCCAAAACCAGCAGCAATGAATGATTCCATGGAAAAAAAAAAAAAATTATTCCAGGGAGAATTCTTCCTGTGGATATTCCTACCC